GGAAATAGATCTGAATAAATTAGCCAGACATGCAGCAGAGGTACAAAGATAGCATACTATAGAAAATACACAAGAGAATTTCCAGAAGAGGAGAATAGAGAGAAATGAAAGACATGATGGCTCAGTATTTTCCCAGACTGAAAAAGGATACCAATCTTCGGAATGACTGAGTATACCATGTCCTTGACAGGATGATTTAAAACAAATCTACACCTAGATATATTGCAATGAAACTTCAGAACTCACACAAACAAAAAATCTTGGAACAATCAAAGATGAAATATCTATTACAATCAAAGGACTGAAAATTAGGGTTACAGAAGTTGTTCCAGTTATATGGGGACAAGAAACAAAGTAGAATGATAACTTTAAATGGTGGATGAAAAGCAAATGTTAAGAGAGAATTCTACACTCAACCAAAGTATAATTCAGGAGTGGATTAAAAAATTATTTTAAATGCTCCCTAAAGCATACTGTGAGAGCTAAACATTCATACTCTCACTGAAAAAAAAAATGATTAAGAGGAAATTGAACCCATTCTTTCCAAAATAAAGATAGGATATTGAGGAACTACTTTGATAAACATACAGGTAAATGGAAGCAAACTTGGGCTGTAAAAGTAACATGGATGATGGATGATGGATGACACATCTAATTTCTTGGTCATTTAAAAAAGGTATTTTACAAGGCACAAACAAGACAATGTGGTATGTTATAGAAAGAAATTTAGTATGAACCCTATTCAATTTGACAGAAGATAAGACATACTGGTTATTGGTAGATGTTTAAGCATGTATGTTTAGATTTTATGAATAAACACTAACAGAAAAAGAAAAGGATATGTAGCATCTAGACAAAAGGAAAAAGGGGAGGAATAAAGAAGACTGTGTCAATATAATAGGATAAAAATGTGGACAGAAAGGGTAGACGAACTAGAGAATCATTTTCTCTGTGAGGAAAGAGTAAAATTGGGGACGATTGCAAAGCGGTCTTCTATTCTTTCTAACAGTATATCAATCCTGGGGGGAAAATAACCCAATAAAGCAAAATAATTAATATTATTTAAGTCTGTGGATTGGTGAGATTTGTTGCTTATAATTCTTTGGTGTATTCGTTATCCTTTGTTTTATGTATTATGTTACAAATTTCAAAAATGTATATTGGTATCAGATAAAACTGTGTTCTTACTCCATATCTTTTATTTACTGTGTAACTTGGGTGAAGTTCTTCAACCTGTTAAGGTTGCACTTGCTTAATTTTTAAATGTGTATAATAATACAATATTCTCTACCTTCCAGGGTTATTTTAAGAATGTAAAAGTGTATGGCGTAGTACTTGGAGAAAACAATGCATCTAATGTATGGCAATTTGGTGGGAATAAAGAGGCAGCAGCAGCATAAAACCAAAGGAGAAGAGAGTTTTTTTTTTTTTTAATTTTTTTTTCAACGTTTTATTTATTTTTGGGACAGAGAGAGACAGAGCAGGAACGGGGGAGGGGCAGAGAGAGAGGGAGACACAGAATTGGAAACAGGCTCCAGGCTCTGAGCCATCAGCCCAGAGCCCGACCCGGGGCTCGAACTCCCGGACCGCGAGATCGTGACCTGGCTGAAGTCGGATGCCTAACCGACTGCGCCACCCAGGCGCCCCAGGAGAAGAGAGTTTTTAAATAAAAAAGGAAGTATTATCTGTTATATACCTAAGCAAAATGTTCAAATTACTGATATTAACCATTGGACTTAACTCTTACAAGGTCATTGATGAAGTTTCTCTGAGAAGTCTGGGGGGGATCGGTGGGAACAGAAGACTGCAGGCATGGGTTGAAGAGGAGAGAAGACAGATAAGAAAATGCTTGCAGCATATTGTTTGAAACAAGCAGGCAAGGCAAAATCATATACTTATTTATAGAAGCAAGAGAAAAAAAAACAGATTTAAACTTGGAGACTGCAAATGTGAACTATTTTAAATAGTTTGGTCGTGGAGGAAAATAGGTCAGTGACTAGAGATAAACAGTGTGTGTGTGTGTGTGTGTGTGTGTGTGTGTGTGTGTGTGTGTGATGCTGGTAAGGATTTTGGCATGTTAACAGACTGAAAGGAGAAACCCAGTAGAGGGGGGAAATGTGAAAAAATAGGAACAAAGGTAGAACACTGATGGATCAAAATCCTAGAAGGGACAGGAGGGGTTGGGATCAAGAACCCAAGATGGAAGAGTTGGCCTTAAGCAAGTGAGAATCACTTGTTCTGAGATTAGAGGAAGTTGAATGTGGCATTTTTGTTATTTTGTTGTTGTTGTTTATGTGCTTCTTCCGATCAAGAGTGAGACTCAGGCATGGAAATCCTCCATGAGGGATGTTTTACAGGATGGAAATATTGGATTCAGACCCAATTCTTCTCTAAAGGAGGTTTTCTGTATGTGGAACAATCATTGTTTGAGACTTCAAATGACCACACTCATTTCAGAAAATCATGAAAGGTACACAGAGGGGATGATGTGCGAAAGTTACTGGCTGAGCCTTTTGGGAAATAAACAGGAACCAAAACTGCACATTTCCATGTCCTCTAAAAAATCAGCTTTCCAAAAATAGACTCATACAAGCTATAGTCACAGTTGAATGTCATGTTTCTATTATTGTGATGACATAAAATCATTAAACCACTGCTAGTAGTAAAAGCAGTCATGTCTGGTAATAGAACCAGTGCCCATTCAAAGGGAATTGCATTTTAAATGACACATGGAGAGCAAATGTCCTCTGGAGGGGAGGGGCATTGACTGAGGTTTTACTTCCACGGTGATTTATTACATGCCCTCCTCTGGTATTGGTGGAATACTCAAACACTTGGTTCTGAATAGTGGTGTCAAAGTTTTAGAGAAGTTTTCAAAAAATATTTTTAATCATTTGCTCGACTTTTAATCATGTTTCCTGTTTTTAAGTAACTGAGAAAAATGCTAAATTTTCTATTATAAACCCCCTTCCATTAATCAGTCTCTCAAGGATCTTTGGACTTCTCTTTATGTCTTCTCCTTATTCCTATCACACAAGCAAACTTATGAATACTTACTTTGCATCATCTCAGTTAATGTTCACACAACCCAATGAGATAGATTTGGCCATGGAGAAATGAGTGCAACTGACATTTCACGATGGAATTCAATCTTCCCAGTATCAATTGGGATTCAAATTCAGTTCTGAATTTTAAAAAATGAAATTTAAAAGAGACATTGAATTAAATGTCTCTTTCAAGTTCAGAACCTATTAAAAATGGACAAGGAAGTTTTGACTTCCTCAGGCTTTCAAATATCAATGTCATTGTCAGGAAAGTTGTACTGAGAAATAGTGTTGTGTATAAGGTCAAATCAGACTTACTGCCATGCCCCTAAAACTGGACCCTGGGGCACATGGTCAGAGGTATGGGCACAGAACCAGTTAATTGCATATAGGACTAGAACCCGCCTCTTACCTTTCAAGAATAGATGGTACAGGTGCACTGATCTTACACAATAGAGCCATTCCTCTTCTTTTGGTGAGGGAAATGGTCAGGGCCTTAGGATTGGCTTCTAGCCAACACTTCCAAGAGAGCTGAATGTATCATGTAAGGAAATGGATGATTTCCTCTGGACATGGCACATACTTTATTTTTTTCCATAGCATCTCATTCTATTAATTGTATTCATTTAATATACTTCAGAGTCTCATTCTCTTTCACATAATGAGCTTCTTTTAATTTTTTTTTTTCAACGTTTATTTATTTTTGGGACAGAGAGAGACAGAGCATGAACGGGGGAGGGGCAGAGAGAGAGGGAGACACAGAATCGGAAACAGGCTCCAGGCTCTGAGCCATCAGCCCAGAGCCCGACTCGGGGCTCGAACTCACAGACCGCGAGATCGTGACCTGGCTGAAGTCGGACGCTTAACCAACTGCGCCACCCAGGCGCCCCTCACATAATGAGCTTCTTAAGAACAACAAGTGTGTTGATCAAACCAGGAAAAAACACCAGAAGCTCACACACTGGGATTGATAAAAGAACATTGGAAACATTCACAGTGGTGGGTGTCTTTGCCCTCCAATTTCCCACTGTATTTTGGGGGCAGCACACAAGGTTCTAGCAAATGTAAGCGCTAGACTCCAGGAGGCTTTTAAGAAACAGATTAGGAAAGAGTAGCCCCTCCCTTGGCACGATTAAGAGCTGGTATCCATCAAGTGTCTTAGCTCCAAGTCCCGTGCTGCCAATTGTGCAGCCATAGTTGTGAGAACATAAGCCTCTTCTCCAACAGGATCAGTGTGCTGCCTGCCGGGTAAGACTTAGAGTTCCAGCTCTTTGACCCATTTGACCGTTGCTGAATCTACTACCTTGGCATCTTACCAGAATTGATTGCTTAAGCATTTTACTGGAGCTGATTTCCACATGCTTTTCAGGAGACCAGATCCTCCTTTGGGAGACTGGCAGCGCAAGGCGTAAGTTTTGGCCAAGCCAGTTCTTCTCAACATTGGCCTGATTTGTCTTTTTATTTCTCCATGGTGCTTAGTACAGTGTCTTATAAGGGGTAACTTTTGAATGAGGAGATAATGAATAGATTAATGAATAAATAAATGAGTAATTGTGTAGGAAGAAATATAGGCACTGGGCTATCTCTCCTTCACACCACCTCTCTTTCCTCCTTTTTGAAAGGCATCTAGAGACTAAGCTGAAGTCTGCTTTGTCTCTTCTTCATGATAAATTTCTCCGACCTGAAACCCAAACTTAACTCAGTCATCAAATAATCCCTATCATATTGGCAACAGAGTCACTGATTATAGAACAAGGGCTCTCTATGTCTCTTAATGAAAGCCCTCAAGTTTATTTTTTAGTTCCTTTTAAGATGTTATATGATCTCCTTATTTGTGCTAAAAATCCCCTGGAATTAAATCCTAAATTTTAATAATAGTTAGCATTTTGGGATGTTCACCATGTGCGGGTGCGGTGATAAACACTTGACATAGATTATCTCATTTAATCCTCACAGAAACCAAATGAAGTGTTTACTATCATTATCCGTATTTGATGAAGAGGATACTGAGATTCACAGAGAATTAACTTGTCCAAAATCATCTAATACCGGGTAATCACAAGTGAATGAGCCGAAAGCACACACAGACGTCGGGAACAGACTGTCACTGAGGGGAAAACTTACAGAGAACAGGTGCAGGTGAGCAATCTTCTCAATGGCAGTTGCACCATTGAGCACCAGACATCAGACTGGGGAGGCATCCCAGGCTTCAGTTGTGGGGCTCAAAGCTGCATGGTTGGAGAAATATCAGCCCTTCCTCTAGGACAGTTTGGAGCTGAGGTCCAAACTTTATGGTTGCAGTTTCATGATGTAGCAGAATTTTAGCTTCCCATCCTGATCTTCTACCTTAACATTTATAATGGAGAGTTCACCATCCTATCCCATATTGTGATCACACTCCATACCCCAACCTTTGTGTTTATAGTTGTATAGGGTTGGAAATTCTTGAACTTCAGCTCTGATCATTTTAGCAGAATGTCTGTCTGAAGTACTCATTTGTAAACAGTTTCCATATCTTCTGGGGTTTGATTTCCAAATGATCTCACTCTTTAATAGGAGGGGGAGTGGCAAATGACTCTCTGAGAAGCCAGCGTACTGGGTATCCAGGTCAGGAAAATTAATCCTTGGCTATGACCTAACCATTAAATGGTGGGACTTTTATTCAAGTACTTTCGTCTGATACCAGAGTGTCCCCAGCATTAAATAATGTGCAGTAAAAACTTGATAGAACTATCTGTATGAGTATTTCAAGTAGCATCATAGTGTACATACATGCTTTTCCTGCTGTATGTCTTTTGTCACCCGTTTCCAGTGGACAATTTGAAAGATTTATGTAGTATTCACCTATGGTTAGACCTTATAACTTACCATTATGGTACTTTATGGTTCATTAGCATGTGAGATTTAATTTGGCTATGAGTTACTTAAAGAGGACATGTTGTTGACGATGGAATTGATAGGCTTATCCCGTGGGATTTGAATGAGGATGGATGAGGACAGGGAAATTCCTAAGAGGTAGGGTTCCATTGAGGGGATGATGAGCCCAAATACAGAGTTTGTGATTTCTGTGCTGGGTGTGGGTAGGTTTAGGAGATTTTGAACTAGAGTTAATAATATTTAGAACTTGTATCTGTGTCATTTATGTGGTTACAGGGTTATTTGTGACATGGAATATTATTTGTGTATGTCTCAATATCTAAGTTCATTCTTTCCAGTATTCCTCAGTTCAACTTTATACATTTATAAAATTTATAAATATAAAATGTCTTGAGATCAGAGAAATTGTCAGTAATTTAATACTGAAAACATCTTTACTTCAAATAAGAGGTTCTTGAAGTCAGAGCTGTGATCTGTTTTGCTAATTGCTGTATATACCCCATACATAGATACTAGTTAGAGCAAAGTTGTCACTCCATGAATATTTATTATTTGAATAAGGAAAGTAAGGAAGACTCTTTTGCTATGAAAATTAATTATTGAATCATTTGAATTGAATTTGAATTGAATCATTGAATTTTCTTGGAATATGAAGGTATTGCTTTTAGTTATGTATATTTATTAAGACAGAAGTGAAGGGAAAGATTATCATACCACAAATTCTTTATGTGTGAATATAATGAGATGGAAAAGGTGATCGTCTTCTCTTATTTGCCACATCCAAACCATTTGGTTTTCAATGGGAAGGTCCAATATTTCCAAGATAATTTTTTTAAATGCTGTGATTATACATTCTTCCAGATTTATAGAAGTATGTATATATAGACAGGTAGATATGTGGGGGGGGGGATGGTTTATGATATGAAAAGTATACTCATCTCAGGAGATCATCCATTGTTGTGTCTGTATAACTTCTTCCCCTGCACAGAAGAAACAAAAAGAAGGAAAAAAAAAAAAAAAACATGTTCAATAGGAAGGGATGAGATAAATCCCTAATTTCATAGCTCTGCATGTAATCCCAACTCATCAGAGTATGGAATGAGCAAAGTAAGATAATAATCTGTTATTTTCCCCTGTCAACATTTCCAGTCTAAGGCTATAGACAGAATATTAAGCCACAGGGTGTGACGGTTCTGGCCAACAGTACTATGACAAATAAATAGAAACTCCTTCAGGCTATGAAAACGTAGTGGTTGTGAACACGGCTACCCCTTTCTGTTGAAGCACGCATATATCCAACGGAACGTCAAGAAGGTGTGAAGATTTCTTGAGGAGTAGTTGAAGGCAGTCTTCTGATTTTGATTTTTGTAAATTTGCTCCAGTGTTCTTTTTTTTTTTTTTTTTTTCCTTTTCCTGGCCCTTATCCATTTGACTTTCTTCCCGATGACCCTCTCTCTGACTTTTCTTTAGGTAATGTGAAAATACTGACTATAGAGATGCCCAGGGTGAAACAGATCTTCATCCCCAGTGAACTCCAAATAGCAACCTTCTTTTCTCCTTCCCAGGGGAATTTCCGTAGTCTTGTTAGAAGCATTTCTGCTGTACTATAATGTCTCAAGAAAAGAATAATGAACAAATACCCTCATTAACTACATTTTAGTGGGCTTTGTTAAAGTCAGATCACCCCAGTCTCAAAGTGGAAACAAAAACAGAAATCTTGACTTAACAAATGAAGCACACATTTAAAATTAAGATGATTTGTAGTCAGAGTAATATACTCAAAACAGGGTAGCACCTTTCAGTGAATTTTAAACCTTTTAGATCTAGTGGCTTTTTTTTTTTTTTTTTTTTTTGCAAAACATGCTAATGGACTCTATTCTTAAAATAGGTATTTACACAAAATAAAATCTACAGAAAATTAAAGATAACTTTGAAAGATATATTTGATAAAGACTTTTAATGTATCCTATAGAAATGTCTAGATATCACATTAAAAACCCACATTGTTTCAGTTTATTGCCAGACCATTGAAATTAGTACATCATAAGACCATGGCATACAGTGAGTGGGTTACACATGTGCTGAGGTCATAAATTCCTTTCTGCTTTCAGACAGTAAGGTAAGGTCAAGGGCAACTAAACCTCAAGATCTTTCTCCTCCCATTGTGAACAAGCATGACGGTTCTCCCTAGTAAGTCAAAGAAGTCTTATTTTCTATGTGATCCTTAATATGAAATAGGTTGAACACAGTGGTAAAGAATTATTCACTTATTCTTTTAGTGGATGTTTATTGAATACCTCATATTAATTATGAACCGGTGAATTAGCTATGATTGTGGTAATCAAAGTGGCTAAAGTTCATTCTCTGACTTTGAGGAAATCATAGCCTACAAGGGGAGGCAGATCCCCAAGTAACTAAGCATACTATCATATCCATATATGTAGACTTACTGGAACACAGAAGAGGCAACCTAGTTTTATTTGGAATGAGAAATGGTGAAGACCCTCCACCAAAGATGTAATACCTAGTTGAATTTTACAAGTTAAGCAGAGTTTACCAGGAAGAGTATACATTGTAATACTGTTTTTCTAATAAGTAACTTTCTATTTCAACATTCTCAGCGGTTGCATACTGTCTCATGATGTGGATAGAACACAATTTAATTGAGCCCTTATTAGGATACTTCTACAACTGTAAACAACATTGATATAAATATCATTTTAGCAAAATCATAGTATATGCCCTTCATTCTCTTCTTAGAATACAGTTCTAGATGTGAAATTACAGGCTCAAAGGAAAAGTACTTTTGTAAAACAGAACTACATTTTCTCAGGCTAGCGTTATCAATGAGTAGGGCTTTGAGGTCACAAAAAGTTACATTCAGTATATAAACATTTATTTTGCTGGTTATTTGACATGGGGTAAGGGGTAAGTTGCCTTAACTTTCATAACTATTAGTTTCTTGCCTCAAAAAAAGAATAAGAAAAGAAATGAGGATCATAATACTTAAAGTGCTGCTTTAAAAACTATAGTAGAGGGGGCGCCTGGGTGGCTTAGTCGGTTGAGCATCCGACCTTGGCTTGGGTCATGATCTCACAGTTCGTGATCTCACCGTTTGTGAGTTCGAGCCCCGTGTCAGGCTCTGTGCTGACAGCTCAGAGCCTGGAGCCTGCTTCGGATTCTGTGTCTCCTTGTCTCTCTGCTCCTCCCCTGCTCACATGCTGTCTCTCTCTCAAAAATAAATAAAGATTAAAAAAATTAAGAAAAAAAAAACTATAGTAGAGGTTAATAAAAATTTATTAAATTCCCCTTGTACTTTTGACAGCAGGTACCTTGGCAATAAAATTCAAGTGTTCTAAATATTGTACGTTAGCATCATTAATATATTTCTTTTATTTTTTTAATGTTATGTATTTTTGAGAGAGAGAGACAGAGTGAGAGCAGGGGAGTGTCAGAGAGAGAGGGAGACACGGAGTCCGAAGCAGTATCCAGGCTCTGAGCTGTCAGCACAGAGCCAGACGCGGGGCTTGAACCCATGAACCATGAGATCATGACCTGAGCTGAAGTCGGACACTCAACCGACTGAGCCACCCAGGCACCCCTCATTAGTATATTTCTAACAGGAAATGTGCTGACCTAAATAACTATGTGGTGTAGTTACACACAATTCATCATATGGCCCAACTTAAAAAAAAAATAATCTGACTCATTATCCATATAAATAACTTTAAAATTGCTGGACTGTGCTCAAAAATTTGGTCTGGAAGACAGAAAAGTTTTAGTATTGGATGAAGAGACAGAAGCCTGGAATAAAATCCTCATTCTTCCAGTTATTTCCTATGTGACTTAATTTCTCAGACCCTCGGGATTATCATCTGAAAAAGAGAGCGTAAGGGTACATTTTCTTTCTGCTTCAAAGAACCAAATGAGCAATATAAATATAAAAATAGGTAGATAATAGATCTCTAAATTGCTATTCTTACATAACCTATTATTCTTAATAGTTTTTAAATCTACTGTGAATCTTTTTATTTATTGAAAAAGAAGTGTCAGTAGGCAGAATGTACCTTTCCCTCATTCTTGTCAGTGGGTTACACGTTTTTCATATTATATTGATGTGGGGCATTGACTGGAAGGATTGGGATTTATTTTTGAACTCCTGTCAGCACTCCATAATTAACATTGCCCAGAAGAGAAATGCTATTTTGCCTCCTGCATCATCAACACAACTGTCAGCAAATAAGGAAGTCATCGTCTTTGCC